CAATCACAATGTGCCCACAGATGATAGCCTCTGAGTTCGGGCATAGTTAGGGTATACTTCCGGAAGGTGTCTTAGTGTATTGATGATTTCGTAATTGATCATAATATATAATTATTACTTCTGTATCTGTTTTATTATATCGAATGATTTAATACTTACCCCTATTTTTCCATGTGGATGGGACTGCGATGATCACTTTTATGTGGGAGCAGATCAAGAGTTGAGAGATGGAGATGTGACTACTGGACAACAAGGATAGTTCAGTGGGATAGCTTCGAGGGAGCTACTTTTACATGTATAATATATAAATAAATTATGTTACTATATTTTGAGGTTCCGTTAGTGAATCATAATTTCAATCTATGTTACAATCACAGTAATATAATGTAAGATAAATGTTGTTATTTACTTATTTACTATTTTGCGAAGGCATCATTATAGTAGCGATTTCTAGGGTTGTTACAAAAATCGTCGTCATTTATATACATACAACGATATTTCTAACCATAATAGTCATTGCATGTGTGTAATTCGAAAACAATTTTAACCATAATAGTTGTCGTATATTTTTTTCAAAATCAATTTGGAATCACAACTTATAACGAAGAGTTTGTCCATACTTGTCATTGTAAGTATCACATATGACAAAGGTTGTTAAAATAATCATCATTGTATTTGAAGCTTACGATGATAGGTGACACCTATTGTCAATTCCTTTTACATATGACGACAACTCAATTAACGATAAATCATCATTGTAAGTTTTTTTTAACCGTTGTTAAACACATTTATTTTAGTAATGTGTGGATTGTGAAATATTGCATTAAGGATACAATAGAAGATATCCTTTACAAATCAGTGTAATCATATAGATGAAAGGATAAAATAGTAAGAGTTGAAGAAAAATTCTATGATTTAGCTTATGGTGTGAAAAATAATTGTGTTTGAAAAGTCATATAAATTTATCCTATTATATAAAATTGTGTATCAATGTTTAGTCTTTTGAAAATCATCAAATATCTATATATTAGATAGTAGAAAGCTTGCATAAGGGTGATGTGAATATAAACACTTGAAATGATAGTGTAAACTTGTGATGGATAATATTGTATGGAAATATAGGTTTATAAAATACATTGTTATTATGATGAAAATTGATTTTCTAGTTTACCTTATGTATTTTCTTTTGTTTGTTATTTTGATGATCATGTATTTACATGAAGCAAATAATGTAGATGATAAATCTTCTCAGAGCTAAGTCTGAAGCTAATATAGGATGACTTATTTTCTTTAGTTTTAGTTTTTTTTACCTTGGGTTACACATACAACACCTCATATAGAGGAAAAGTTTATTTTGAAAACATATGTGTATAAATTATATCTTTTGTGTATATAATTTTAAGTTTGTTATATACATAGATATGAGTTGAAGGTTCAAAAGTTTTATCAAAGTCTAACTGGATTTAATAAAATAATATTTTTATAATATAATAAGTTTATTAATAACAACAATTTTTTTACAAAAGAAGAAAATAATAAAATCATAAGTTATAACGAAGATTACAAATATAAAATATATTAAAGAATATAAGATAAATAATTATTAAAATAAGTTGAATATAAAATAAAATAATTATTAAAATAAGTTAAACATAAAATAAAATAATTATTATTTAAAGTTGACATAATTAATACATGATAAAAAATTAAAATATATTACATCTCTTACAAAAATATTATATTAAAAAAATTAATCTTAATTTTATTTTTCCACTAAAAACTGTTTTTATTAGACCAATTGAATTGACTAATTTAATCTGATTTAAAAAAAAATATATATATATATATATATATATATATATATATATATATATAATATCGGTTTATATAATCTGTGTTTTTAAGACGCATGTTAAAAGTGTTAATTAGTCATTTTAATATATTTACACGTAGAAAATATAAAATAATAAATAATTAGGAGAGAAAAATTAAATACATAAACTAATAAAGTAAAAAAATATTAATTACTTTTTTTCTCATTCACACATAAAAAAAATGTAAAGTAATAAAAACAAAAGTTTTTTTTATATTTTTTTAATTGGTCTTTTCCTTTTTTTTATCTTGTATTTTTTTTTCTTTTTAATATTTTCTTTGTCTGCTCTATTCGTTTGTAAGAAAAAAAATGATAAAAAATTTTAAAATTATTTTTTCTCTCTAATAGTTAATGTAGTGTGATTTTGACACATTTAAGCGAATCAATTAAAGGTGTCAAAATACATTTATTATAATAGGTCAACTCAAAATATCTAAGAAGTAGATTAGGATAGATCGAAATTGAATCAAACTTATTTTGTCTTAGTCTCTTTAAGTCATGACTTATATGAGTTAGATTAGATTAATGCGTAAACTTATGCACTAATATTTTTTATAGAATAATAATTATTTTTTAAATAAAAATAAAAATAAAAAATATTATTTTATAATATATATATATATATATATATATATATAAATTTGAGAAGAGATTCATTTATTGTAAAAATAAATATTAGAATAAGTCTAGTAACAATCATTTATCTTAAGATTTAATAATTAAAATTAATTATAATATTAGATTAAAAAATTAATTAAAAAATATATGATAACCAAGAGTAACTCTTATTTTGAGATTAAATAGATATATTTTTTCATAATTTTAATGTATTGAATCATTATATCTTAAATAAAAATTAATTTTATTAATATAATTTAAATTTTAAAAATATTTTTTATTTTTATTTAAATATTTTTTTATTTTTAATTAGATTAAAATTGAATTATTAATCTGTTGTCGTAATATAAAAATAAATTAGACTAAAAATTTGATCTATTTTGAATCATTAAATTTTTTTTTTTATTTAACCGTATGACTAGATTAAAAAGGACTTACTGGTAAAAAAAAATGTTTCTACTCTCAAATAATCTTCAATATTGTATTTTTTTATCTGTTTTTTCTCATTAGAAAGTGTCAATGATTTTGTTTCGTCATATTAAAATGAGTGAATATTTTTATTTTTATTTTTTGGCTGTTGTGATATTTTTCGTTCAAAAATTTTGATGATTTGAATAAACTCTCCACTTATGAAATTTGTAATGATTTTGGAGAGATGTTGATTGATTTGAATAAAGAAAACGACAAACATTATAAAGAGACAGCAAAGAATTAGGCAAATAAGTTAAAGTTTATAATTTTAAGAAGATAAGTTATAATATTATAACATGTTCAACTAAATAAAATGTAAAAATAGATAATATTTCATCAAATATTAAAAAGAAAAGATAATAAATATTGTGAAAGTTTAAATTTTATATTTTCATCAAACTTTTAGATTATAAATATTATATTATTTTATTTAATTTTTGGTTTTTATTTTTAAATATATGTAGTCATGATTAAAATTTGTAGGTGAAAATTGTAGAAGAAAAAAATTAAATAGATAAACTAATAAAAAAATGTTTATCATGTTTACTATTTAAACCATGAATTCTTTGAGCAAAATTTATAATAAATACAGTGATTGTAATAATTTGAATACTTGATTATATATATATATATATATATATATATATATATATATATATATATTATTCACCTGATTATTTCAATTTTAAAGTTACTTTGTAAAAGTATTAAATATTAACCGAATATGGTTTTAAATTTCTCTAACATTAACATATATTCCTTAAAAATAATCTTACTCATAATACTTTTAAAACATTTATTGTTAAATATATATAACTAAGACCTTCAGCATATGAAATACTAGTAAAAGGTTCAAGTAGAGTGGTCCAAAATTCATGCATACATACATGCTACAAGGACTATTTGGAAATAAGTGTAAGAATCAGTCATTACACTAGCGATGTTGGTAAAATTAACAAATTAATAGAAAAATGTGTCTTTTTAACATCATTAATGAATAAAATTCAATTTATTACAGCAACCGACATATAAGTTTGGCACAGAAGGTTTCCATTTATGAAGAGTCAACATTAATTGAGATCTCAGAGACAACCATCCGAGCGGAGTTCTCAAGATTTTCACATCACCTTTTTTTTCAAATGATTATTTATTAGATTACAATTTTTTGTTATGTTTTATATATGTTTGTCTAATTTATTTATTTAAAAGCAAATAGTTTTCAGCTTATTTTTAATAAATGATTTAAATACTTAATTACCACGTTTAGCTATATGAGCAATCACCAAATTTAGATCCAAAGTTCCTAAAATACTTTGGTGATAGTTTTGAAACCTCACTTTTCTATAGCACTTTCGGTGCAGGAACATAGCAGGAGACAAAGAAAGAGACATTTCAAACACAATACCATAATCATAAATAACTGAAACTCATTTGTAAGGGACAATAACAGCTCAAGCATCCATTTCTTTCTCATAACACCCTATATATCTTCTTCTACACTTCGCTGCATAAGAAGGACCATCACCAGTGCGCAGCTACCCTATGTCCACATGCATACAAGAGAAAAAGTAAAAGCTTCAAGGAAGCAAATTCTAACTATTCTCCTGTCATGTCACGTGGCCTCTTATTTTAAGGCTAGTATAGCATAAACATCATGCCCCCATTCCATTTCACTGCACCCTGCGTCACAACAAAAAAGAACTCATTATTATTAAATATAGTGAAAAGTTGCATGGTGAAAGATAATTGGTTCAATCATAAATTCACTTGCTCCAGTTCTTCTCGTATCAAATATTGGTCTATACTAAAAAAATTGTAAGTGGTAGTGAGATAAAACCTTTTTTAAGTGACAAAATGGTTATAAAAACTCTGTTAAGTGTGAGGAAATTTCACAAAGCAACTGCATAGATACTAAATCTTACAATTTTCTCTTTATAAAAAGCTTAAAATGGAAAGGAGAAACATAGGAAGAAATGAATAGTTCTAAACTAAAAGATTCTAAGAAAATGTTTATACTGTCATTTGTTTCTTATAAAAACTACTGTAAAGAGTAATGGAAGTACCTGCTACAGTCAGTATTAGGGCTGATCTGGTAAGGAATGTTAACCCGACATTTCTTGGGAAGGCTGGCAGCTAGGTTGAGATTGTAATTAGAGTAGGTGAAGCCACTGCTACTAACACCATTCTTGATGCATCTGCAAACTGTTTGGCGGTCTTGTGTGGTCTGAGCCAGGCCATAGAGGCTCCTGATCCCATTGCAGCACTGAGCAGGAACCGTGGTTCCACCATACATCACATAGGAAAGGCATGGGGTCAGGTTGTCCACTACTTGGTCACATGTCACCGCTGCTTGTGCCTTGGGAATGGTTGTGGTACCAAGAGCCAGGCACACAATGGCCAAGAAAAAAACCCTAGTTACCATGCTAGCCATGACCATTTCAACTCTCGCAAGAACCAGGTAGTATTTGGTAGTGTGCTACTTATGTTGGGGGAGGTGGTGAGATTCTCTATGGTGGTTGTGTTTATATAGTGGGAGAAGGGTTTATGGGACTAAGAGGTGTTAGCAGGAGCGCATGTGAGGAGTCATGTGGCTTTACTTATTGGGTAGTTGGGTGAATTCATTGCCATAATGGAGTTTAGTTGAGTAAGTAAATGCCACTCTATTCGAGGCAAGGGTGAAAGCAGAACGATGTCTAGATATCAAAGGAAGTTAATAACTCTGGAGAAATGTTTACAAATACATGGCAAATTTTGAGTCATGTATATATATGATACATATTTAAATGTGTTAGGGTCATTATTTATTAAGCCAAATAATAAAGTGATCTGAATAAATTAAAGTTTTGGCTAAAGGCATATGTCATGAAAATATGATTGTGTAGAGACCATAGAGTAATTTCTAATTTGATGAGGGGCCAAATTGAAAATACTAAAACTTAAGTAATTAACCTAATTTTGGTTATATAAAGGGTCATGGTCCCCTTCTGAGAGCACACAGACAGAATACAGATACAGTCCCGTTCTTTTCTTTTCTATCCCCATCAAGAGAGAAAATCCATAGGGAAATACAGAGTGCTTCTTCGGTGGAAGACCATAAGATCAACTCAAAGGTGCTCTACAAAGAATATCATCATTATGGCTAATTCGAGTACGCTTTCGCATTTAGTTTATATAACATGATTACGAGTATGAGATTATAGATATATGTTTGATCATTAGGATGAAGATCATGTTCAATTAAAGTTTAACCCAACAATTGGTATCGAGCCGCCCATCACTACAAGAAAATAATTTATTATCGACGGATATTTACCGACTGGATATGTAGACGTCGGAAAATTAATGATTACAGACGGAAATTACCGAGCGGATATAATAAAATTGTAGAATTTGGTCTTACAGACGGATATATCCGTCGGTAAATGAAGAATTAATTGCAGACGGATATATCAGTCGGTAAATTAGCTACTTAATTATATCACCTTTAAGCCGCACGACCAGCACCACTCCCATCCCTTTCTACATCTCATTCGCTTCTCCTCTCCCACTCATCCTCAAGCCTAGATCTGCGCGGCACTAACCACTTCCGAGTCATCACCGGCGGCCAACACGTCTCCACTAGTGCCTATTGTGAGCCACTAACCAACCCCGCGAACCATCACTTACCAATTGCGCCCCAATTTGATTTGTGACCCTCTCATTGCAACTAGGTCATTACCTCACAGGTCCTCCGCCATCACGCCAACCACCGCGCACCTTCGAACCACCATCCAACAACACTCCCATTCCTTTATTGATCTCATCCACTTCTCCTCTCCCATTCATCCTCAACCCACATCCGCGCGCCACGACCACCTCCGGCCATCACCTTGCGGCCAACACGTCCCCAATAGTGGCTATTGTGAGCCCCGACCAACCACCGCAAACCACCATTACCGGTTGCGCCCTAATTGGATTTGCGACCCCTTCATTGGAAATGGTCATTACCTCACTAGGTCCTTCACCACCACGCCAACCACCGCGCACCTTCGAACCACCATCCAACACCACTCCCATTCCTTTCTCGATCCCATTGATTTCTGCTGTTCCACTCATCACGAACCCTAGATCCGCGCACAATAACCACCTCCGGCCATCACCGGCGAGGCAACACATCCCCGATAGTGGCTATTGCACCCCAATTCGTGAGCCCCGACCAACCACCGCGAACCACCACTGCACTGTTGCACCCCGATTCGTTGCGGGTTTTGTACCTTCCTTTGCTTGGTTATGGTTTTTAATTTTGTATTGTTTTGATTTTCTCCAACTCATGAATTTCCTTATTTATGCTTGAAAATTTGATCAATGCGCTTAGATAAATGAATTGGAATGATTACGTAGTGAAAATTTAAGGTTGTTTTCTTCAGAAGCCAAGGGAAGAATTTATGACCCTCCTTTTCCCAAATAAAACGAGAATAAGAAAGACATTCAAGTTCAAACATTTGTTGTCTTCTTGCGGTTAAAATGCTTAAACATGTTTTGACGAGTAGTTACGAAAGGTGAAATGATATCCCAATTCGAGTGGTGCTTGATGGAAATCAAATATGAACAGGGGAATGATCACACAAAGTTTATTGAATGAAATCCTTAAATTAGGAAAAGTTGATGTATTTCTATGATATTCTTGGTTTGCTTGAGTTGATGTATTTCTTCATGTTTGATTTAGGCTGAATTAGGAAAAGTTATTCTTTGTTGGACCTGGCATTCACGGTAAGGATGGGAAGCTAATTCCGGTGAGTCGTTAACGAAGGCGATCTTGTTCTTTTGCCGGAGTATGGGGGAGCTGAGGTGAAGCTTGACAACAAAGAGTATGTATATGTTTTTTATGTCCTGTTATTAGCTTATTTTTTAGGCTCATATAATTCTTCCACTTTATCCTAAAGTTTAATACGGTAGATATAAATGTTGATGGTTACACTTGAGCTTTGTTAATTTTGTGTATATAACACCTGGAAGATTTATTTCCTTGTTCCAAAGTTGATTGATTCCTTTTGGTCTAAATTCTACTTGAGTCTTGTCTTCTTTGTGAATCATTGTAACAAGTTTCGAAGAAGGAAACTTTACGCATCTATGCTTAATATTGTGTATCCAATATTTAGAATTTCTTTGTTTGATGCTTCATACATTATGTAATCGATGTTTCTTTTGTATATGCCTAGATATAGAGCTATAGGATTGAAAGCTGTTATTGGAGTAAAATAATATTTTAGAACTTTTAAATTAGAGGTAATGATAATTTATCAGGGAATTTTTCAAGCAATGGAGTGGAGGATTTATTCTATTATGATTTGCGATAGTTTATTCCACTTTCGTGCATTTCCTTCCATCTTGTCTCTTTGCATAGGTTCTTGTTTAGACCATTTTCTGCAAGAAAATAAGAAAGTAAAATGAATTGAACTTCGAAATTAAGATACTTAATTCTTGTAGTCTTCTCATTTAACTTCTTGTGGTTTATTTGCTACTATTTGTATTGATATCGGCAATCGATATATATTAGTTGGCATGATAAATTTATGAAGCTGAGTTTCTTTACGGCTTGAAGATGCTATTGTCTTGGAAAATGTTTGGGAGTTTTGTGAGTGAGGAATGTGGGATTTTTGTTTCAAAGTGAAATGTTTGGTAGTTGTTTCAAGGAGTGCCTTTGGTATCCTATTTTTGTTTTTCGTTCAAGCTGCATTTGATGGCATGATTTTATCCATGTGTTGATGGTCTGTGTTGAAATGATAATGGGTTCAATTAACCTTAGGTCTCTATGTGCGACGAGTGTCGCTCGTTTAGGAATCAATATTTGTTTAGGACAAGTTTTACAAGAAATTTCGGTGTCTTTGGATGTTAGAAACACTACATAAACAAGGTCATGAATAATTGAGAATGATTCAAATTGAAAATGATGACGAGTTGTTTCCAACGGGTTGTATCACTATTTGTTATTTCGTATATATCCATGTGGAGGTGTGGGCGAAAATATGAAAAACATACGAGACTATGCTATAACTTCATGAGATTTATGAGTCCCTATTTAATTGACAATGCAAAGGTAGAAACATATTGTTGTTGGATAATACCCATGTGGAGGTGTAGTTAAAAGTATGATAAACATAGGAGATTTACGCGAGAATTTTAAGAGCATTATGAGTCCTTAAATTTAAGTGTCAATGCAAAGGTAGAAACATACATGTGCATTAAGGTGAACTATGTGTCGAGTTTGATACTTGAAGATGTAAGCGAGGATTCGAGAAGTTCTAGGTAGATAATGTAGTGAGTTTTAATACCTTAATGATGGTCGAGTCATGTAGACTTAAATAGAAGAATCAAATAAAGCTGGTTTGATGTCTTGATAAATGTGCGAGAAATCACCAAAATTGGTAGGAAGTATTTCTTTCAAAGTAGTTTAAGATTCGTGTTTATCTGAAAAATCGAAGTGTTAACTTAAGCATTAACTATTAGGCTTAAAGTTAAATTAATAATTAAAACGTAACCCTTTCTTTCAAAAAGTGTAGTAGTTCAAACTTCACAATTCTATCATAATTTAGTCACACAGTTTTTATTCTTGTTATGAAACAGTTGATATATCCCCACAATAAATGAAAAAGAAAAGAGATTGTACTATTAAATATCATCGAAAGGGAGAGCTAAGATCTATGATAATGGAAATCAAGAGAAATTGACCCACATCTATGAGTACGTAAAATTTAGCTCCTCAAATGATGCATTACTGTTTGTTTGATGTAAAAGTTTATTGTTCTATCGTTAAATACTAAAGTGATGTATGTAAAAGAAAATGAAGAAATCAAGTTAGATAATTGTTAAATTTTCTTTTATTTAGTTTGCCACTTTTTTCGTTCTCCATTACGGTCATTGTGGATACTTTTTCGGTTCCTCAATCTCTCTCAATTCCTTATCACTCTTCCATCTTCGTCATATTTTCATTGTATGCTTGTGATAGCTTTCCGTATGACATAACTCCTTTTGTTTCTTTCATATTCTAAAAATGTTATTAAAACGTCAACTATTGCGGGTTAAGTCTTGGCAAATCGGACACCAAACAAAGGCTCCTCAAGGCTGCGGGATTATCCATGCTTGATTTTTGAAAGGGGATTTATTTGTCCTGAGGTGAGTTCAATTCATGAATATTGACATTTCTTGATTTAACCTTGTTCATTCTTCCTTTTATATAATTGTAGTTATTCAATTCACATTAAATTGGATTTGACAACATAAAAGTAGCTTAATATTATTATGTTGAATCCAATGTTTAGATTGGATTTTGTTTCAATTGATGTGAAGTGCAATTTCACTATTTGTCTGAAGTCTATAGGAAATTTCATTTGTATCAACTTTTAGAAAATATAAAAGTTTTAGTTGAGTCTTTTCACTCTATTTGAAAGATAGTTGAATCAAAATCTAATGGTCGATTTCTTTCAAACAATTCCTTCAATTGATCTTATTCTCTTCAATATTACAGAACATGGATGGTATTTCTTTCAATCGCAATTGGATGTATGATAGATGTTATAGTGGTAGAAGAGGTTTGAAAGAGTCTTTTGTTATAGGGGTTGAAGAGTTTATCGAACGACACGACAATATGAGCATTATGAACGTGATGGAGGGATTAGATGTCCATGCGCTAAATGCGATTGTACAAAGATTTTGAAGGATGAAATCGTCAAAGTTCACCTTTACAAGCAAGGGTTCAAAAAAACTACTTGGATTTGGGTCGATCATGGTGAACAAATACCTCATGTTGAAGAGACTTTTGATGACAATTGTGTACATAGTTCAAGTAGTGGTGCACACATGCCTCAACAAGACCAATTTATGTCAATGCAAGAGATGATGTACAATTCTCTATTGCAACATCATTCATTTGAAGGACCAGAGTTGGTTAATATACAAGAGCCACCAAATGAAGCAACTCAAAGGTTCTATAATTTGTTGGCTGAAACAAATAAACCCTTATTTGAAGGGGCGGGGGACTCAAAATTGTCTATATGTGTTAGACTTTTAGCTTGCAAGTCAAATTGGAACATTCACGACCAATGCTTAGACTTTATGACACGAATGTTGTTAGATGTCACACCTATAAAAGATGGTTTGCCCACAACTTATTATGATGCTAAGAGATTAGTATCAAAATTGGGATTAGAGGCTAAGAGGATTGATTGTTGTGTCAATGGGTGTATGCTTTTCTACGACAATGATTATGGAAAAAAGATGCGACATTAGTTGAATGTAAATTTTGCCAAACACCAAGATATCACAACAATAGCACTTGGAACAAGTCACAAAAAGCCGGTCCCAATAAAAGCCATGTTTTACTTGCCTATAATTCCAAGATTACAACGAATATTTGCATCAATGCAAACTGCTGGACAAATGACTTGGCACCATGACAATAGAACTTACGGTGTGTTACGCCATCCATCAGACGGTGAAGCATGGAAGTACTTTGATAGGAAACATCCTTCTTTCATTGCTTGATCCACGCAATGTCGGACTTGGATTATGTTCGATGGATTTAACCCATATATCCAAGCTTCATCTTCACCTTATTCTTGTTGGCCTGTGATTGTTACCCCATATAATCTTCCTCCTGATATGTGCATGTCAAAGCCATATATGTTTTTAACTTGCCTAATTCGGGTCCATCTAATCCGAAAGCCTCTATTGACATTTACTTGGAGCCTTTAATCGATGATTTAAAAAAATTATGGAGTGGTATTCTCACATATGATATTTCAAGGAAACAAAACTTTATGATGAGGGCAGCTTTGATGTGGACTATTAATGACTTTCCAGCATATGGGATGTTATCTGGTTGGGGGACTCATGGTAGATTGGCTTGTCCACATTGTATGGAGCATAGAAAATCATTTACATTGAATTATGGCCGTAAAAGTTGTTGGTTTGACTCGCATCGAAGGTTCTTACGTAATGATCATCCTTTTAGAAGGAATATTAATGCTTTTCGGAAGGGGAAGTTGAAGTAGATGGGCCGCCTCCTAGGCTAACACCTACGAAGTGTGGTCAAGAGTAAAAGATTTTCCAAAAATAACTGAATGTGGTGTGACAAGGATAGAAGGATATGGAGAGTGGCATAATTGGACAAAAAGAAG